GGTTCACATATGTGCGGTGAGGTATAACGCATGTGATTCACACAGGAACCGCACCGCATTCCTGTGCAAATCACATGCGATTTGTGTGCAGTGCGATTGGAGCATACATTTTGTATGGCTCTAATCGCATAGCACCCACACCAAAAACATGCAGGGCCCTTTTTTGGGTATTCACACCTATGCGATCTGATTCTGCACATCGCACTTCGTTTTGCGGACCACTTTCGAGGTGTTGTTAACTTAACATACACCCCCGCAGTGGTTCATGAATGAGGTGCGGAATTTGCACTGAAAACGCTGCAAATTCCGCACCGTATCAGTGAACCAGGGATAAACCACTGTGCAAAACAAAAGTCCAAACAGATTTTCTGAAAAGTTCCCAGTTAGTTATGAAAATATGACTCACTAACACATTTGTTTTTATGTTAAAATCTTTCATTAAGATTTTAAAGCTGATCTCCATGTTTAGTGTCCCTTTAACCAGTTCTCCCCCGGGCCAATTCTGACATATCTCTCTCACATGCAAAAATCTGTTTTTTTTTTGCTGTAAAAAATGACATAGAACCCCAAACATTATATTTGTTTTTTGCAGGGGTCCTAGAGAATAAAATGCTGGGTGTTGCAATTTTTTATGTCACACAGTATTTGTGCAGCGTTTTTTCAAACACAATTTTTTGGGGAAAATTACACTTAAATGAATTTTATTTTACACAAACACTATAGAATACCTATTTTTGCTAAACAATAAAACATGATGTTACAATGAGTAAATAGATACCTAACGTGTCATACTTTAAAACTGCATATTCCAATGGAACGGCGCCAAACTATGATACCCATAAATCTCCATAGGCGACACTAAAGCCTTTACAGGTTACTTGTTTAGAGTTACATGGGAGGTCTGGAGCCAAAATTATTGTTCCTGCTCTGAGTGTGAGACTTACATTCACATTTGTGAATATGCACGAGGTCGGGGGGGGGGGGGGGGGTGCTTTGAAAATTCTTTTTTTTAAACTTATTTTATTTCCAACTTTTTTTACAGTGTTTTTAATTTGCATTTCTTTCACAAAGTATGAACAACATCCCTTGAGAAAACAGGGTTGTGACAGGTCTTCTTTAAGGAGAGATTTGGGGTCTATTAGATTCCAAATCTCTTCTCTGGTCTCCAATGCAGCTGGTCAGACACAACAAAGAATAACCAAAACTGAAAGATACAAAATCATTGTTTCTTACATTTTCCGGGGTCACACAGAGAGAGGAACAACATCAGTTCCTTTTTCTCTGTGTAGTTTCAGGGGTTCCGGGCTCTGTGATCAGACGGAAGAGCCTGGGAAAGGTGGCGGCGGCATGACCAGCCACTCAACTTCTGCTAAAGAGGGAATCGGGAACAGAAAATTTTGATACCAGGATTTTGATACCAGGATGATACCAGGATGAGACACCTGATGTAAGGGGGCACTCTGATGGGGGCCCTGATGTAAGGGGGCACTCTGATTGGGGCACTTGATGTAAGAGGGCACTTTGATGGGGACCCTGATGTAAGGGGGCACTTTCAATCAGAGTGCCCCCTTACATCAGGGTCCCCATCAGAGTGCCACCTTGCATTAGGTGTCCCAATCAGAGTGCTGCTTTACATCAGGGTCCTCATTAGAGTGCTTTCTTACATCAGGTGTCTCCACTTACATCAATTTTCCACAACAGAGTGTCCCCTTACATATAATCAGTTATCCCCATCAGAGTGCCCCCTTACATCGTGTCCCCATCAGAGTGTCCCCTTACATATGACCAGTTACCTCCATCAGAGTGCCCCCTTACATCAGATGTCCCCATCAGAATTCACCCCTTATATGGATTGTCCCCATCAGGGTGCCTCCTTACATCAATTGCCTGCATCAGGCTGGCCAATGCACTCTCAGAGACATGGGGGAGGGACAGCTACTCACTGACCAGAAACAAATATGATGATAAAGACTTCTGAGTTTCCCAATATGCATACTTGTTCTGGCTCAGCAATTCCATCAATGCTAAAGTTCGTGGATCAGAATAACCTTCAAGAAATTGTCAGTTTAGGAAGTAGTGCTCACTGACCTCTATATCTGCAAGCACCATGGAGCAATTCAGCCTTGAAAGCAAAGAACAGAAGCACCAATGTTTTTTCCTCATAAGGTCCCCCCTCCCAAAAGTGACCGAGTAGCCTTCCAGCCTTCTAATCAGCTTAGCTGATGAAAGAACAATTTTAATTACAAAGTTCAGTTTTTCTAATACTATCTACATGGAGTGTAAAAAAACTTGGAGTGTGACATAACTGTTTATTGTAAAGTATATAAAGAACAATTCCCTGCATCAATATGTTATACATAGTTATATTGGTCCAGTTTGGACCAAGATACCTATTTATAAATCAATACTGGGCGTTGACCCTGGAAGCTGGAAATCACTGAAGTACACACCACTACTCCAGTGATCTCCACTTGCTACTGGGTCTGCTGCTGAGCATCCGGCCTGATGCATTATGAACACAGAAAATCAGCCGCTCAGCACGGGCACCATTTAGAGAATACATTTTCTGAATGACTGCAAAGCTTTCTCTTATTGGACGAGGTGGAGAGCATGGTGTCACCACCCTGCCTTTTCACCTTGTCCAATCAGTGAATGTTTTGCATTCATTCAGAAGATGCAGGAAGCAAGTTGAGATCACTGGAGTAGGATGTCTATGTCAGTGATTTCCAGGTTCTGGGGGCATCGGCCAAGTATGGTATACATATTGTAGTTACATTGTTCCTAGCTGGACCAGTATAATATACCGATGCCTGGAATTATAATTTAATGATGTGGTTATAGTCTGGATTTTACTCTCAAAGGCTATTGCCTGTGAACATCTAGTCTACATGAATGAGAATTTTGATAGAAAGAGGCTTGAAATAAATAAACAACTAATAGCAAAAAAAGACAAAATATTGTTGATAATAACTTAGTGATATAATTTAATGTTGGATCATGTCGTTTAATTTTGAATTTTCTTAAAGGTTTTTTTTTTATGAACTGCTTTTGTTATGTTCATTGTGTGTTGTGTTAAGCTGTCCATGTTATGTTGTAGTTATGTATTATATACAGGTGAAACTCAAAAAATTAGAATATCGTGCAAAAGTTCATTTATTTCAGTAATGCAACTTAAAAGGTGAAACTAATATATGAGATAGACTCATTACATGCAAAGCAAGATAGTTCAAGTCGTGATTTGTCATAATTGTGATGATTATGGCTTACAGCTCATGAAAACCACAAATCCACAATCTCAGAAAATTAGAATATTACATGCAATCAATAAAACAAGGATTGTAAATAGAACAATATTGGACCTCTGAAAAGTATAAGCATGCATATGTACTCAGTACTTGATTTGGGCCCCTTTTGCAGCAATTACTGCCTCAATGCGGCATGGCATGGAAGCTATCAGCCTGTGGCACTGCTGAGGTGTTATGGATGACCAGGATGCTTCAATAGCAGCCTTCAGCTCTTCTGCATTGTTCGGTCTCATGTCTCTCATCTTTCTCTTGGCAATGCCCCATAGATTCTCTATGAGGTTCAGGTCAGGCGAGTTTGCTGGCCAATCAAGCACAGTAATCCTACGGTCATTGAACCAGGTTTTGGTGCTTTTGGCAGTGTGGGCAGGTGCCAAGTCCTGCTGGAAAATGAAGTCCGCATTCCCATAAAGCTCGTCTGCGGAAGGAAGCATGAAGTGCTCCAAAATCTCCTGGTAGACGGCTGCGTTGACCCTGGACTTAATGAAGCACAGTGGACCAACACCAGCAGATGACATGGCTCCCCAAATCAACACAGACTGTGGAAACTTCACACTGGACTTCAAGCATCTTGAAGTGTGTGCCTCTCCATTCTTCCTCCATACTCTGGGTCCTTGGTTTCCAAATGAGATACAAAAGTTGCTCTCATCAGAAAAGAGGACTTTGGACCACTGAGCAACAGACCAGGTCTGTTTTTCTTTAGCCCAGGTAAGACACTTCTGACGTTTGTTGTTTAGGAGTGGCTTGACCAATGGAATATGAAATTTGAAGCCCATGTCCAGTATCCATCTGTGTGTGGTGGCTCTTGATGCACTGACTCCAGCCTCAGTCCACTCCTTGTGAAAGTCCCCAATACTTTTGAATGGCCTTTTCCGGACAATTCTCTCCAGGCTGCGGTCATCCCTGCTGCTTGTGCACCTTTTTCTTCCACAATTTTCCCTTCCACATAACTTTCTATTAATGTGCTTTGATACAGCACGTTGGGAACATCCAACTTCTTTTGCAATTACCTTTTGAGGCTTTCCCTCCTTATGGAGGGTGTCCATGATGGTTTTCTGCACAACTGTCAGGTCAGCAGTCTTTTCCATGATTGTGATTCCTACTGAACCAGACTGAGAGACCATATAAAGGTCTCAGGAACCCTTTGCAGGTGTTATGGCTTAATTAGCTGATTAGAGTGGGACACTTTGAGCCTAGATTATTGCACCTTTTCACAATATTCTAATTTTCTGAGATTGTGGATTTGGGGTTTTCATGAGCTGTAAGCCATAATCATCACAATTATAACAAATCACGGCTTGAACTATCTTGCTTTGCATGTAATGAGTCTATCTCATATATTAGTTTCACCCTTTAAGTTGCATTACTGAAATAAATGAACTTTTGTACGATATTCTAATTTTTCGACTTTCACCTGTATGTATGTAATTTGCATTTTCTGGGTGAACTCATTTGAAACTTGAAAAATAATAATAGTTGTCACCAACATAATGCATAGAAAGAACTCACAAGAATGTCTTACTAACCACCAAAATATGAAACACACCTAAATTGATGTAACCATTTTTTTGCAAGTGAAAACAATATGTGTGTTTTTTTCCACAACATTTTTGTACAATGCAAATTATGCACAAGCAGCAAAATCCACAATTTAGTCACATTTCTGCAAAGTGATTTATAACGATCAGTATAAATATGTTACTTCAGCCTAATGCAGTCAACCTCTTCTGTAGCTGGAACAGCACTTGTCTTGATTTCTATCTCTCCACTACATTTACTTCCATTGTAGGTGGATCTCCATTTCAGAAGCATGATCTTCTTAAAATATTTCATGGTATTGTTTTTGACAGTCACAAAGCACATTGTGTTAATCATGCTGTTACTCATTGCAATACACTCTACAATGTAAAAAGCAGACAGATAATGCTTTTCTCTAATAAAAACTGTAGGAAAAAAATCCCGAACAATCATGAATCCATAAAATGGAGCCCAGCATAGGACATAAGCTATGAGGATACACATAAGCACCAAGACTGTCTTTCTCCGGCATCGAAGGCGTTTCCGTATTTGTTCTGTCTGAAACCCAGGCACCGTTTTGAACCAAAGCTCTCTGGAGATCCTGGCATAGCATAACGTCATTGTAACAACTGGTCCAACAAACTCAATGCAGAAAATAAAGAGGAAGTAGGATTTATAATAGATCTGCTGGTCAACTGGCCAAATTTGACCACAAAATATCTTCTCTTGGTTTTTCACAATAAAGAGCACTGATTCTGTAGCAAAATATGCTGAAGGTATGGCTATAAGCAGAGCAATAATCCAAACCAGGGCAATCAAGAATGAAGCAGTCTGATAATTCATGCGAGGCTTCAGTGGATGTACAATTGCCAAGTACCTACAAAACAAAAATGGTTTCATGAAATAAAACGACAAACTTTTTCAGAATACTATCATTGCATACAGGATTCACACAGGTTACAATCACAACCAAATCATGGGGATGGCTCATACTTACCTTCTTTAACTCACAGTTTATATTTACATTACCATTGCCATAAGAGTCTCACATGTAAGACCACAACCAAATCATGGGGATGGCTCATACCTACCTTCTTTAACTCACAATTTATATGTACATTATCATTGCCATAAGAGTCTCACATGTAAGACCACAACCAAATCATGGGGATGGCTCATACTTACCTTCTTTAACTCACAGTTTATATTTACATTATCATTGCCATAAGAGTCTCACATGTAAGACCACAACCAAATCATGGGGATGGCTCATACTTACCTTCTTTAACTCACAATTTATATGTACATTATCATTGCCATAAGAGTCTCACATGTAAGACCACAACCAAATCATGGGGATGGCTCATACTTACCTTCTTTAACTCACAGTTTATATTTACATTATCATTGCCATAAGAGTCTCACATGTAAGACCACAACCAAATCATGGGGATGGCTCATACTTACCTTCTTTAACTCACACTTTATATCACCATTATCATTACCATAATAGTCTTACATGTAAGACCACAACCATATCATGGGGATGACTCATACTTACCTTCTTTAACTCGCAATTTATATTTACATTATCATTGCTATAAGAGTCTCACATGTAAAACCACAACCAAACCATGGGGATGGCTTGTACTTATGCTTAGCTTCACAATAACTAAACACGGGGCACCCCTATGATCAACAAAACACCTGCGAGTGGAATAGTAGGTAAAGTAGCAAAGTAGGTAAACTATATGTGCTGAGGGCATCACTGGAGCCTCATTAAGGGCTTATGTACACTGCAGCTGCTCAACTCATGTTTAGGAGCTCTTCAGCATTTTTTTTAGCAGCCCCTGAACTCACCCTAATGTTTTCCTATTTGTCCATGTACACATCTTTGTTTACAGTCATTTACAGGCATTTGAGTTTACAGTCATTTTTTTGAATGCAGAAAACTTGCGTTCAGCAGTCGATTTTATCAGCGTTTCAAACGCTACACGCAGCAAATTGCGCTTATAAGTGTTTGCGTCTGAAAATGTTTTTTAACTCTTCCAGTTCCCAATGCTGTCCAGAGGCCTTTTTTCATCATGAAGAATGCATGAAAAGTGTTTTCAAGGTACTCAGATGGACAAAACACTTAACACAGGATGTTCCTACCAAGCTTGTCACACATTGGAAACAAAAGATATGTTAATGACCATTCACACCTGAAATTCCTCATGAAGACCCCCTACCAGGTGACCTAAATGACTCACTCCACCAGACACCTTCCCACCCTTGAAAACAAAAGAAATGTTAATGAGCAACTCACACCTAATTATCTAAACACATACTGCTGTCTCTGCTTCTATTCTCTGTATTTCTCTGAAACAGTCTGAAATAGTTAATAATTTACCACTTTTCAGTGCATTCTGGGCATTTGGGAGGTTCTCCTGTGCTTATCTTTAAACACGCTTCTAAACACAAACGCACATAAACGCATTATGCAAACACGGCTAAACAGATGTTTTTAACCTACGTTTTCCAGCGGTCAGTTTTCATCGTTCAGAAGTGTACATGTGTCTCGTGTACATGGGACCTAAGACTGCATTAATATCTACATACTGCATGTGTTGCAGTAACAATGACCGTGTGCACCATTAGATGCATTGGCGTAATGTGGTGCCATTCACTTTGACAATCCAATGCATCCTGACAATGCACCTTTTTAAATAAAGTTATTGAAACATGCTGAAAAAAGTCTATTGAAGTCTATTACACCATATGATCCCTACAGGCAGTAATCTGTCCTTTACTCAATTTTTTATTGTCTTTTCTAGCTGTTTTTACATTTGTGGCCAACCCACAACACATTGTTTTCATTAGCTGTTCTCCACACCTTTCTCACCTGCTCATTGCCATGCCCACCACACAATATGAGTCCCATTCAGGCAGCCCAATGCTCAGTCTTAACCACCTCCAACAGCACATTTATTTTATGGCAACATTTTCAGTATTTATTCTGCACCACACCACAGCTAGCTTGGCACCAGCCACCTCTTGCTGAGCCTTAACGCCAAGTAGCTGCATATATGCGGCCCTGTTAAAACTACTTACCGTGCTGAGAGCGAGCTTCCTGCTGGTGGGGATCTGTAAGCTCCCGATGCATACTTGCGATTAGGAGCTTTCCAATCATTTGATCGCTGTGACAGTCGATCACAGCAGTCACATGACCCAAATCCCTGCCTCCACCTCCCAGCTTTTAGAACCCTTACAGAGCTGGGAGGTGGTTGGCTCCAAGGGGTTAAAAACCAAATAAAACTGATACATCCCAACTGCCGCAATCTGTTATCTCAGCTGACTGGCCACAATTTTGCAGGTGATAGATGAATACTGGCTCACCAGATACATCAAGGGCTACAACAAAATGGCACCCGTCCACAGATTGCCTGGCATATAGTAAGCTTCTCTTAGGACCCTCATGGGTAGGAGACCAAGCTGAAGTAATTTTTTACTAACAGGAGCTCACTATATGCCAAGGCAGTGTGCAAATAGGCGCCATTTTGTTGTACAACTAACTTATTGTAACTGTGTGCACAGCAGACACTCCAGTCAGTGAATGCCTTACCTTTCTCTAATACCTCTCCCCGCTATCGCATCACAAATCAACTCAATGCCTTTCATGCCATTCTTACCATCCACGTTTCTATTATCCTCTTTTCAAAATAATTTTCCAACTGTTCTTCCACACTCACTCTGTCACTTTTATCTGGACTCTCTGATCCCACTTTTGTGTCTTGCCAAGTCTCGATTCTCTGTGCATACTCCTGCCTTTACCCAAGTTATCCTACCATAGCTCCCTCCCCTCAGCATACCAGACCCCACTCAGTTTTAATCTATTGGGATTGTTTTATTTTTGTTTTTTTATTATATCTTGTATTGGAATTTTCCATTACAAAAAGAAAAACAACCTTATACCCATACAGTTCACATATACACAAATTCCACTTAAATTATCCTATTCCCCTACCCCTCCACCATCCCCGCATCCAGTTACCCCTGTCCATATCCTTACATTGTACTTTAACCTAGAGATTTTTCCCCACAAGGCCATAAGATTTACACTACCAAGCATTAGCTTCCCTCCATAAATTGTACCCTAATGGATTTTAGCCTCATGTATTTCAGACATTCATCACATACAACTTTATTTGTTTTGATAAGTCCTGCCAGCATTGGTGGTCAGTGGCAGGGAAATTTAACCCCCTCCATTGATGATCAGTGGCAGTCATTTTTAGCACCCTCCCATTGATGATCAGTAGCAGTAACATTTAATCCCCTCCATTGGTGGTCAGTGGCAGTATTATTTAACCTCATCCATTAATGGTTATTTGGCAGTAAATATCAAAAGCTATGTTTTAATTTATCCACCATGCTACTTTTATGGAAAAGATTGAAATTGATTTGTAAATTATGCTACATTTCCCTAGGTTTTAACTTTTAAAACATTTTTCAAGGTACTGTATGCTTTGTGAGTACATACACAGAACAAACATATAGCAGTGTTTTCTCAAATTTGACCACAAAAATGGAAATACACTTAAGGCTTGGTTCACACTTATGCGTTTATTGGTGCTTTTTGCAGAAACCCACTATAGTCCATTTAACATGGTTTCATATGGAACACGTTCACTTACGCTTTTGCAGCTGCTGCATTTTTGGAAAGAGTCAGGGACTTTTTCAAATGCAAAATGGTGCATTTTTGGTTCAATAGAATTCAATGGAGATGATGCAGAAAAGCCTTTTGGATGTGTCTTTGACACCTTTTGCATTTCTTAATCTACCCAACAAATAGGCCAAAAAAAAGCATAAAAATGCAAAATGTGCGAAAAATGTGTGTACAAAACCCTGGCTGGTCAGGCACAAACTAAACGTATTCCAGTATCTCACTATCTGTTTGGTAGTCTAGACCCAGTCAACTCCAAAAACATAAGTTTCCAACAATCTTACTCACTTAGTCCTTCCTTTGCCCCTTCCCCTATATCTCTGCTAACAGCTGCAGTAGCAATTAGAGACCAGTTAAAAACAAACCCTGGCCACTATCAGAACCAAACCAAATGATACAAGGATATATTTACAAGCCTGCCTAAAAATTTTACTTTTATTTTCTCCATCAACTCATTCCCTCACAGTCATTATATTTGTATCTCTTGCCCTCCCTTTTAGATTGTAAGTTCTAACGAGCAGAGTACTCTTCTCTTGGGTTGTTTAGTAACTGCACTGTCTCCCTTGATTTTGTAAAGTGCTTCATAAGCTGTTTGTACTACATACATTTTGTAACTCTTTTTTTTTCAGATGGTCTCCTTTATATATCCTTTATAAATAAATAGCTCCTCTTAATAAATAAAATACATGTCAAGGATATTTTAGAAGATGGTAAATGTATCTTCCCAATGTTATATTTGTCCTTTCTGTACCAGTATAACTACATCTCAGTGAGATCCACTGTAATGTGGGATTCTGTGGAGATTTAGTTAGATAAAAAATATATTGTGCCAACAATAGTAGTTGACATGAAACTAGGGTAAGTATCAGAATTTGCATACATGTTGTATTCTGCCCATAGCATAGTTTTTATTTCTCCCTCCTGTAGCAAAATGTATTACCTGTTGTTCCTGTCAATAGGGCAGCACTGTTCGCTCTGTATATGAAATAATTTATCATTGTTGTCAACCTGTGATCAGGGTAATCTTGAGAGATATGTCATTTTATTTGAACTTAAAGTAAGTGAAAAAAAAAACAAGTGACCAACCTACTTCCAAGTAGCGGTTACAGCAACAGGTATTAAACCAACTTAAAGCTAACCA